CCATATATATTTTCGTCCGATTTAATGTAAATGGTGCACCAAAGTCCCTATATATCCACCGATTTGACGAAATTTGACATATCGTTCTGAATTAAGTCTAGAACATGTGTGTTAAATTTTGTGAAAATCGGTTCAGATTTAGGTATAGCTCCCATCAGGGAAATAACTGTTAGCTAACATGTGACAAGTTTCGATGAAATCGGTTTAGATATCGATATTTTGCTTTAGATGTGTTTACATAATTTTGTCCCATTGTAAGAATCAAGTCTATATCTGACCAAAATTTAGTATAGGCTGCAGAATGAAATGTTTAATTTTATGTTAATGGTTTTTCAAAAATTGCGACGTATGTTAGGATTCGATCTGTTGAATATACCCAAAATGGCGAAGGATGTCATGTAGTCGGCCCCGTCCGACTTTACAACTTTCCTCACTGGTTTTTAAATATTTTTAGAGATTCTGTATAACCTTAAGATAATTCAGTGAATTTGTTGTTAAGCTTTTGGAAATTTCTTAAAGGTTCCATCGAACTTTTTAGCGAACTTTTTATATATATATGACCGAAGGGGACATTTTTGGGAAGTTTCCAGCCTAAAAACCTTTTTTTATAAAATAATATTTTTTGCAGTATTTATCGGAATGCTATTAAAGTTAGTTTTTTGTAGATTTGTTAAAGGGGGTTGTAGAGGTTCTATGCGAGGTGTCGGTGAGGTTCTATCTGATCCAAATCTGTGGAGTTTTTAAAGAGTTTTAAAGAGGTTATATTTGCCTAAAAAAGTGAAAATTTCACTGAATTTGAAAAATCATAAAGATTATTTTTGAATGCTAAAACGTAATACCGAATATAAAGCAGATGAATTTCGTAGAAGTCATTTCCTGAAAATTCTTACTGTGAGAAATAAGGTCACATCTTGCATTGATGGATTAATCAATCTAAAATATCTACAACTCTCTTTGAAAGGCATTATAAAATGTTTAAGTATTTTCTTTTGTTATTTCCTCATATGTATAGAAGGAGTTCCGCGTCATTCAAATTACCATGAATGCTTGACAAACAATAACCACATGAATTGTGATATACTTGCATACAATTGTGTATGTGTGTGTGTGGGTGTTTGTAACTCCATATACTCTTATATAACAGTTAACAAAAGAAACAAAGGCGAAATAATGATGAAATGTTTTTCGTAAACCTACCGTAACACTTAAAAAGAACCACAATAAAAGAAAATATTTTTGTTTTATCTGCATGTATGTATTTATATATGTAAGATTAAATGGCGCAATGAATAAGAAACGAAAATATAACCAAACCATAAATCTTTTTATAGATTACAAATGTAACATTAAGAACAATAACAACAAAAACAGTAACCCGTGCCCATAACTGTAACCACAATTTAACCGGAAGATGAGGGTGATGACGGTGTTAGCGAGGTAGGTTGATAAACTCAAGCATCGCTTCATAAACTTGAGATATGACGTTTTATATGGGGGTAATGAAAACACTTTTATTACAATATTTAACACACTGATTTGGGTGATAAATGTCGCTCAATGGTGGGTTTGGAGAAATATTTTAAACATTTGCGATACGGGGTATGGTCAGTTTATATAAAGGTTGAAGAAATATGAAATAAAATTTATTCATAAGAGTACATCTGGTTGAAACATGGCAACGAAGATTGTATTTGCCATTATTCGCCGCATTTATTTTTTCCAATATTTTTTAGAATTTTTCAGAATCAGTTGGCAAAAATCTGAATGAATCACTTAGCCGCTATTAATTTATTTCATTGATAACAAAAATTAACGTCAGCGAGAATCTACCAATAGCACAATTTTTAACTATTACAAAAAAAAAAAAAAAAAAAAAAAAACAATTGTAACAAAAACCCACCTTAAACGAGGCATTTAGTGGCAATTAATTTTATTTCCTTTGAAAAAAATAAAATAAAACACTATACCTCAAAACTTTATTCTGTTTTGCCTTTTTTGACTCTGCTGTTCTTGTAGTTGAATATTTCATAATTTAGCTTGTGGTGCTTTATTTTACCCAGTTGTCCTCTTAAGTTAAGGACACTACGGCTGCAACCAGACGATGACCTACATTACAAAACAATGTTTTTTTGTTTTGTTTTTTCTCTATGCATCCTTTAAGTCTGGACTAAATGTCGAACTCTTTTTTGGTAGACTATTAATTTATGAATGCCATTAGTGGTGTACTGTCTAAGCAGAATGAATAGTTGTCTTTTTAAAAGCAAACTATGTGAATATATTACGTGATATGGTTTTTAATTAAATATGTCAAAATTGTTTTTATAAACTCGAATATTTATATTAAGCTTTGAATTAGTTTAATATTACCTTTGGGATGTTATTCAGGGGTTTGAAATTGAAAAAATGAAGGTTTTTGGTGCAAACTTTGCATCAAATAAACTACTATTAAGAAAATTCATGCCATTTTGGATTTCATTCGATACGTCGTAGAAATTTTCGTCTCAATTACATTAAATTGCATCCATCCATAATGTATCCATAATTTAAAACATGCCATGTTTGAAAGATAAATTCTCCGAAAGATCGTCGGGCCGATCTGTGTCTACGCTGATTATCGGCGTCGAATGAACCACGAGCTCTACAATTTATATGCGGACATCGACATAGTCAGTCGTATTGAGCTGCAGCGACTACGGTGGCTAGGCCATGTTGTGCGGATGAATGAAGATGCCCCAGCTCAAAAGGCATATAAAAATGAGCCTACTGATGGTTCCCGTAGAAGGGAAAGGCCATGAATTAGATGGAAAGACCAAGTAGAAAACCACATTTTGGAACGTGGTCTTCCAAATTGGTGGATTTACGCAGACGCTTGGACGCGCTTGGAAATCTTTTTTAAGCTGATTTTCCCCAAGTTCGATAAGAGTTGTTCTCGAGCCAAATAAATGAACTATGCCAAATATCTTTCAAAAATATGCAATTGTCCTTGAAAATATGTTTTACAATATCTACGCTTGTAATGATACTTTCAAAAATATTTTTTAAAAAATTGTTCTGGAAAAAATCTTATTTAAACCAGTAAGGAAAGTAGTAAAGTCGGACTGGGCCGACTATATGATACCCTTAACCACTTTGGGTATATTCAGCATAAAGTCGAAATTATATATGGAAACTATGCTATATCTATATCTGAACCGATTTCAAATAAATTTATCAGAGATTAATTTATATTGACTTCAGTACGTTGTGTCACTCGGCCTAGCTATGGATCGTTAGTACACCATGTACTTAAAATCGGACGAAAATATAGAGGTGTATGTAAATCTGAAAATCTTTGCACACATCATTCTAGATTTAAATCAGTACACTATCCCAAAATCGAAAGATATATGGGGACTTTGGTGCCCTATTTAGATAAAATCGGGCGAAAATATATGTGGGAGCTATATCTTAATCTGAACCGATTTCCACGAAACTTTGCACACGTCTTTCTAGACTTAATTCAGTACGCTATGCCAAAATTCGTGCAAATCGAAAGATTTTGAGGGACTTTGGTGCACCATTTACCTAAAATCGGGCGAAACTATATAAGTGGAAGCTATATATAAATCTGTACCGATTTTCATGAAACTAGGCACACATCATTCTAGACTTAATTCAATATGCTATGCCAAAATTCGTGCAAATCGAAAGATTTTGAGGGACTTTGTTGCACCATTTACCTAAAATCGAGCGAAAATATATATGAAGCTATATCTAAATCTGAACCGATTTTCACGAAACTTACCCCACATCATTCTAGAATTAAGTCAGTACGCTATGCCAAAATTCGTGCCAATAGAAAGATTTTCAGGGACTTTTGTGCACTATTTACCTAAAATCGGGCGAAACTATATATGGGAGCTATATCTAAATCTGAACCGATTTTTACGAAACATAGCCCACATCATTCTAGACTTAATTCAATATGCTATGCCAAAATTCGTGCAACTCGAAAGATTTTCAGGGACTTTGGTGCTCCATTTACCAAAAATCGGGCGAAACTATATATGGGAACTATATCTAAATCTGAACCGATTTTCACGAAACTTAGCACACATCATTTTAGACTTAATTCAGTCCGCTATGCCGAAATTCGTGCAAATCAAATGATTTTCAGGGACTAAAGTCCGTAAATCGGACACAAATATATATGGGAGCTATATCTAAATCTGAACCGATTTTTCCCAATTTCAATAGGGTTCGTCCTTGGGCCAAATAAATGAGCTGTGCCAAGTTTCAGCCAAATCGGATTATAAGTGCGACCTGTACTTTGTTTACAATTTAACATCAACAGACGGATGGACGGACAGACGGACGGACGGACAGACGGACGGACGGACATGCATAAATCGACTCAGAAAGTGATTCTATGCATATTCTCAAAAGGAACCATGGGTCTATCTCGATTCTTTTTGCCTGTTACAAACATATGCACAAAGACGTAATACCCTGTACCCCAGGGGGGATGAATGGTATAAAAATCCACGCTTGAAATGGTTCCTGGGAAAACTTTTTGAGAAATCATGGCTTGTAATGGTCCTTGAAAAAATATTCTTTAAAAAATATACGCCTGTATTGGTCCTTGAAAATTTGTTCTTTAAGAAATCCGCAATTGCAATGGTCCTTGAAAAAATATTACTTAAGAAATCCACGCTTCTAATAGTCAGTGAATGTCATTAAAAAAATCCGCTAGCGTAATGATCCTAAAAAAAATATTTTTTAAGAAATCTACGATTGTAATGGTCCTTAAACAAGAATTTGTAAAAAATCCACTTATATAATGGCCCTTAAAAAAATTTTAAGTGATTATTTATACTCTTTCGAGTCGAGCTTAATGGTCTAAGTTGTGCAATGAAAAGGAATGCGAAATTTGAATTTAATTCGCATATGCAAGTTTCGCATAAGGGCGGAATAAATACATGTTATCAACATACGACCATTTTAAAGTCACATAGCCCAATATGCCTGATGAGCCGCTTAACCAACGGCGTAACGCGTCGCAAAATGGTGCGTAAGTAGGTTCTTCTCCTAGCTTTCTTTTTCATTGCAAATCTTAGATAATTAAGCTCGATTCGAAAGACTGTAAATAATCACTTAAAAATTACTTTCAAATGATCAGTACCCTTACAAGGCAAAATAACAAAAAAGGTTCTTAAAAAATATTTTTTTAAGAAATCTACAGTTGTAATGGTCATTAGAAAAAGTATTCTTAAAAAATCAAAGCTTTGTAAAAATCAAAGTTTTGTCCTTAAAACATATTTTTTAGGAAATCTACAATTGTAACGGTCATTAAAAATATTTTTTGAAAAATCGACGCTTGAAAAATATTCTTAAAAATCCACGCTTAGTCCATGCTAAATATTCTTTAAAGAATTCACGCTTCTAATGGTCCATGCAAAATATTTTTTAAAGAATCCACACTTGTAATGGTCCATGAATAATATTCTTTTAAAATCTAGGCCTGTAAGGGTCCATAAAGAAAAGAAATCCTCGCTTGTAATGGCTACTTGAAAGATATTCTGAAGAAATACACGATTTTCAAATAATTTACGCTTGTAGTATTTTGACATTTTTCAACTGAATTGGCTATAAATTAATACACATCGTTCTACTAATATTTTATAATATATATCGAACTTTTGTATACCGGTCTATCCCCCTTTAAAGGGGTTGTAATTACCCTATCCCAATTTCTCCCATCGTAGTGCCTTTTCTGGCAGCAACATGGCATAGCTTCCATATAAATATTCGGATGTGTTAAACTTAACGACGTTTTTTACTTATTATACACCTATAAAAGTTACACATATTGGTTTTTATGAGAGCTTTAATAAAGCCTCTGGTTATATGTGTACCTTTTATATCACATTTTTTGGCATTTCTTCACATATATATATATATATATATATATTGTATCGTTATTTTTTTCTATTTTTCATTTCTTTCCACATGACACACAAACATTTTAAACGACATCTGTATATCAATCAACCACCTCCACCACAAATGTAATAAATCAATTAATAACACATTATCATCACTTATATACACTTCAGTGCAAGTTAATACCATGACAACTCGTCAAATGAAAAAAAAAAAAACAACACCTTCACACCTTTCCCTATGAATATCACGTCATTCAATGCGTATGATTAATATCATTAAGCCATTGAACATTTATATTAATCATACGTACCAAAGTACAAATAAAGTTCGACATTTCTGCTACCACAGCACATATTTAATCACATCAACAGTCTTCTTTTATCTGCCAGGGATATTTTCAAATGATTATTTTTGTTTGCTTTGTTTGTTACCTTAGAAAATGCATTAATCATTGTATAAGATATAGATGATAATAGAAAAAAAATAAAAGAAGCAAAAACAGCAAACAAATACAACCACATGAAATAAACTTTTTTTTGGGAAACGACACAAACTGAAAAATATCTAACGAAAAAAAACTGTAACTGTTTATAACATTTCATTTTTCATTAATCACCACAATACACGTAGTGGTGTTGTCGTTTGTTTTCCTTCTTCTATTTTTGTATTTTCTCACAATGACACTAAACTATTGTGGGACAACAAAGTGTAGGAAAAAAACTAAAGAAACAAAAAATACACCACAAAAATATGGAATCCCATGTTGTCAGTAATGATGGTAGCAGAAATATACACTCGAACATCACGCTATATGCAGTGTTAATAAATTAAAGTTTCCTGACAGTCAATGCAGTTTTTATTTCATTCTTGACTAGTTTTCAACACCCCCTAAAGGCTTTCGGTTTTTGTTGGTTTTTCGGAAACCAACCATCCAGTCAACCATCAAGTGTTATACACAACTACGACATCCCCATTCATATCATATCATTTGAAAGAAGTTTACAGTAGTAGCAACAACAACAACACCAACAAAATTTTATGAGCGCAACAAAAACACAAAAAAGAAAACAGCAAAAACTTGCATGCATTTAGAATAATACAAAATGTATTGCAAGAAGATGAGTCGGTTCTTCGGTCACCTACTTTGGATTGTTTAACACTAATGGGATTGGTAATGTAAACTAAAAAATAAATATTCTTTAAAAAATATACGCCCATTTATATCCTTAAAAATCCACGCCCATTTATATCCTTTAAAAATCCTCATATTTATAACCTTTAAAAATCCTCATATTTATAACCTTTAAAAAATCTACGTCCATATATATCCTTTAAAAAATCTACGCCTATTTATATCCTTTAAAAAATCTACGCCCATTTATATCCTTTAAAAAATCTACGCCCATTAAAATCCTTTAAAAAATCCACGCCCATATGACTCTCTGAAAAATATTCTTTAAAAAATCCACGCACATATGGCTCTCTGAAAAATATTCTTTAAAAAATCTACGCCCATATGGCTCTCTGAAAAATATTCTTTAAAAAATCTACGCCCATATGGCTCTCTGAAAAATATTCATTAAAAAATCCACGCCCATATGGCTCCCTGAAAAATATCCTTTTTAAAATCCACGCCCATATGGCTCTCTGAAAAATATTCTTTAAAAAATCCACACGTGTATTTGTCTCTGAAAAATATTCTTTAAAAAATCCACGCCCATAAGTAGACCTTGAAATTTGCTTTTAAAAAATCCACGCCTATAAGTAGACTTTGAAATTTGCTTTAAAAAATCCACGCCCATATGGCTCTCTGAAAAATATTCTTTAAAAAATCCACGCCCATATGGCTCTCTGAAAAATATCATTTTTAAAATCCACGCCCATATGGCTCTCTGAAAAATGTTCATTAAAAAATCCACGCCCATATAGCTCCCTGAAAAATATTCTTTAAAAAATCCACGACCATTTGGATCTCTGAAAAATATTCTTTAAGAAATCCACGCCCATATGGCTCTCTGAAAAATATTCTTTAAAAAATCCACGCCTATATTTGTCTCTAAAAAATATCATTTTTAAAATCCACGCCTATATTTGTCTCTGAAAAAATATCCTTTTTAAAATCCTCCCCTATATTTGTCTCTGAACAAATATCCTTTTTAAAATCCACGCCTATATATGTCTCTGAAAAAATATATTTTGTAAAATCCACGTCTATATTTGTCTCTAAAAAAATATCCTTTTTAAATTCCACGCCTACATTTGTCTCTGAACAAATATTTTTTAAAAAATCCCCGCCTATATTTGTCTCTAAAAAATATCCTTTTTAAAATCCACAAATGTATTTGTCTCTGAACAAATGTCCTTTTTAAATTCCACGCCTATATTTGTCCCTGAAAAAATATTCTTTAAAATATCCACTCCTTTGGGTAGGCCTCTGAGAAAGATTCTTTAAATAATCCACGCCTTATATATGCCTCTGAAAAATATTCTTTAAAAATCCACGCCTTGTTTGTCTTTGAAAAAATATTCTTTAAAAATCCACGCCTTGTTTGTCTTTGAAAAAATATTCTTTAAAAACACCACGACTGTACTGGTACTTGAAAAAGTTTTCTTTAAAAAAATCAAAGTCTCTAACGAAAATTTTAAGGTGTTACAAACGGAATGACAATTTTAATATATCATCTGTGTTATATTGAAGGAAATAAAAACACAAAAAAACTGCAAAACAACATACACAAACACACACGAATAGAGGAAACATGTATGGGTGTTTGTTCGCCTTTGAGTGGGTTTGTCAAACTCGTTTTTTGTTTTTGTCTGTAAAAACAGCCATTAGACGTGAAAAACTTGCAATTTTTCCTGTTAGATAAAGTCATGCAATAATGCAACATGCCACAAGTATGCAACAGTATTTCAATCCATTTTTCTGTGTGTGTGGGTGGATGTGTGGATAAGCCAACAATTCATTGTGCAGTCAGTAGTGAACAGCACTCAAACCTCCCCACAGCTCAGCTCATCCTTGATCGTCCAGAGCAAAACAGAAATTAAAATGTAGAATACAAGAAATGAATTGTGTGTGGTTTGAATGCTTTTCTTTGGGTTTCATTTGTTTCGCCCGAATCTAGGAAGTACCCAAAGCAACAAAAGCAACTCGAACACCAACATGGACTGCATTTGAAAAATGTCTTTTGAATTAAGAAACAGGAAGTCTCGTTGATCATAAACTATGCATGAACTAGTGTCTGACGTTGAAGGAGTAAGTGTTGGTACTGTATTGCTGTAGTAGTTGTTGTTGTTACTGCTACTGCTGTTACAGAATTGAACAGGACAAACAAAACGAATAGTTTATTTACCACAATTTCTTTTGAGGTTTTTACTTTTGTTTCCACTTTTTGTGTGTCATTCATGTGGAAGTCAAAGCTAAAGGATATTTTAATGGTGTAAAAGTTCCTTATTTTATTTATGGGTCAATATACTTTGAAGGATAGTATATTATAGACTAATTTGGTATACAGATTTATTTAGTGGAAGATTTATTCAATGTAGGAGATTTTCTGTTTGTAATTTGGAGAAGATTGTGAATTTTTAAAACATAAAATTGGTTTTGGGTGAGTGACATCATTTTGGGTGAGTGACATCTTTGCTACGAGAACTATCAATATTATTGCTGGTTTAGTTATATATATATATATATATACTCCTGTCTAATCCTTAAAAAATACGCTTTATAAAATCCAGACCTGGTCTAATCCCTAAAAAATATGCTTTATTGAATCCGGACCTTTGTCTAAACCTTACAAAATATACAAAATTGTTTATAAAATTCACACCTTTCCTAAACCCTGAAAAAATATTCCGTATGAAATCTTCACTTTTAGAAGCACTTGAAAAAATAAGTTAACACATCCAACAACAATTATTTAAAATCTACATTTTTAAGTCCTTCCAAAAATATTCGGAAAAAATCCACTAAAAAATTCCCTTAGATATAAAATGTTGTATAAATCAGGGGTTATGGTATTCTGGAAAAATTTTAAACAAATCTCGAAATTGAAACCATTTTTTTTAACAAATCCACGACAGCATTGATCCTTGAAAACTTTTTTTTAAAAATCCACGAC